AGGCTGAGGCGGAAGGATCGCCGGAGCCCAGCAGGTCGAGGCTGCAGTGGCCGGGAGCAGCCACTGCACTCCAGTCTGGGAGACAGAGTAAGACTCCAACTCAAAAAAAAAAAAAAAAAAAAAATTCTAGTACTAAAAAAGATGAATACAAGTCACGTTTGACTTCTGCAGTTATAAGAGGTACTTAACTTAAACTGGTTACCATCAGTGTCCACACACTCCTATTATGGAGAACTTATTTTTAAATGTGTAGAAAATTTTTGGTACCCCTCCCCCAGTATATATGTGAGTGATTGTATCCCATCTGACCTTTAAGACAACACTGAGCACACCAAGATATATGTTTAATACTCATGGATTGCTGGAACCAATAATATATAGGAAGTGATATTGTGATCCCGAATCAGGCACTGCACCATATTCCTTTACTAGCTTGTCTTAATCAAAGGACATCCCATAGGAAGGAAAATATTTGAAGGCCATTAAATATTTATGTGCATATTTTGTGATATTTTCCCTCTTTGTCCACCTTTTTTTTCTTTTCTTATATTGTACTTTTAAAAAATAAAGGTTGATTGCATTTTCAGTCTTTCACACTGAACCAGATATTTCCATTCTACCTGCTTTCTCTTTTAAAATTTCCTTAAATCTTAACCTCTACACAGAGGGAGTAAAATGAGTTCAGTTACCCAAAATAAAAATCCTGGTTCTCGCAAAGCAGCTGTTCCTCCTAGAGGGCGTTCTAGGTTTTTCTTGACCAAAAGGCACAATCTAGATGGCAAGGATGAGAACTGGGATAATACAGACAATAACTGAGGGTCACCCTTTTCTAGGGAGGTTAAACTGCCATGGATCATATGACTATGAGAATGAGTTGAGTTTGTGCAGATCTGAGGGAAGAATGATCTAGACAAAATAAATGAGGGCAATGCCTGAAGAAGAAGAAAAAATTTGGATGTGTGTGAGTAACAAAGTGCTACTGAAGTGAGGAAAATAAAGATGGATTGTGCTGTAGTAATAGGCCTAGGCTAGAGCTTACAGGGTCTTTTTAGCTCCAGAAAAATGTTTATAGTCTATTCTTAGAAGGAAGTCCAACATTAGAAACAACAAATTGAAGACGAGTTCCACAGGTTTAAGCTGTGGTCAAGTTGAGGGTCAAGACATGTTTTATTAGATTATTTCTCCCCTTTCTCCTTTTCCCCACAATTTCTGGTTTGTTAGAAAGCCTAGTTTTCTGAAAAACATGAAAAACATAAAAAATTACTAAGTGGATGAATCCTAAGATGCTGTCAATTGTTTAGTATTCCATGAATTACAAATGTGAGCCGTAACAGCATATACTTACTTATGAAATTTCAGAATGTTTTCTCATGAATTTCAAATTTATGTTATATTTATGTTAATATAGTGTGTTATATTATATTTTGTTAGGTTATATTTCTATTCTTATCCCAATCTTTTTCAAATCCATTCAGTTGAAGCCATTATATGTTGAGTGCCATATATAACATCATTTGATAGATTTCTCCTTTTCTTCCCTACTTTAAAAAGTCCTCTTTTCAATGTATTTTCAATCTGTTGATTAAATTAAGAACAATCACCTGTATGAGCACTAGATTGTTGAGAAGGGAGCATCAGAAAAGGTAGACGAATTCGGTCATGGTTTCCATTGATGTGGGGATTATCTCCCTAGGTGTTTTATCTCTTAAAGTAGATTCAATGCAAGTAAGAAGTTTCTGATGAGATTGCTAATGAAATTATATTCATATTTATTATATCCTGACCTTACTCTGAAATGAAAGGTACAGTTCAGGTCATCTGGTACTTAAAGGAAGAAGAGACCTAATCATTGAGAGTTATGTGATTCTAAGATTTCTGGGAAACTGTGGGCAAGAAAACAGAGATATGCCTTTCCATAAGGCAAACATTCCAAAAGGGAAATTATTCATAGTTTCTTGTGAATGTCTCTCCTAATACAAACTGTTAATAATAAAATGCTTACTTTTATTAGAGAATGCTTAGCATCTTTCTGAGGGTATCTGTGTCCTTGGACTTCTAGTTTCCTGGCATCATTCACTAATTTGGTCAATATTTATTGATATGGAAACACAAAGATGAATAAGATGCAGTTCTTATTTTCAGGAGTCTCTCAAGCTAGTGAAAATAAAGAGTTGTATACATCTCCACACACCACGTGATGGAGTGGGCACAAAATGTCAAGTGTGGAAGCACAAAAAAATGGGCCACGGGATGAACAGTCTTGAAAGGGAAAAGAAAATGTTTGGAATGTTTCATGAGGACAATGGCGTTCTGTTGAGAAATTCTATGAAGGAAAATGATCCTGATCTTTGCATCAGAAATAGGAATACCCTAGCAGCCTTATTAAGTCAGCCTTGGACTAGAGGCAAGAGTAATGTTTAGGAAATTGTTGCAGAAATCCAGATAACACGAATATTGGCCTGCAACAGATACATGAAAAAATGGTCAGCCTCATTAGTCATCAAAGAAATGCAAATTAAAACCACAATGAGATATCATCTAACTTCAGTCAGGACGGCCATCATTAATAACTCAAAAAACAACAGATGCTGGAAAGGATATTGGGAAAAGGAACACTTCTACACTGTTGGTGGGAGTGTAAACTAGTACAACCTCTGTGGAAAACAGTTTGGAGATTCCTAAAACATCTAAAAATCGACCTTCCTTATGACCCTGTGATCCCCCTTCTGAGATTATACCCAGAGGATCTCAAATCACTCTATAAAAATGATGCCTGCACACGCAAGTTTATTGCAGCATTATTCACAATTGCAAAAACCTGGAACCAATCATGTTGCCCAT